TATAAAAAGATCAAGACCAAAAAAGAGGTGATACAAGTCTGCTAGGAACCTGTTATAACCGTGTACGCTATAAATTATGATTTTTCTAACCCTTATCAACCGGAAAATATACGACATTTGACCAGGAACAGTTATAAAATTCGAACGTCAGTGGATTCTCATCGGACGTTAGTGTCTTTCCGAAAGTATTACTGAATTCTCATCGGACATTAGTGGTTTTATGAAAATATTATCTTACTTCGACGGTCCAACAATTCAGTGTCTGACAAAGTTAGCTAGCTTCTCGGCAATTGTACGTACATCGACTTCAAGTTAACTCGCTGGATATCAAGGAGACTCTGAACTAGAAAGAATATTTTGTGTTGTTTGTAAGTTAGTGAATTTTTTGTTTTATAAAACTTTGCTTGTGATAACTATTCGTAATAATTGTTGTTGTAAATTGGACTGTTGTTTATATATTAAAACGTATTTGTGTGAAAAACGAAGACGGTGTGTGTCAATCTTGTTGGCAAATAGCGTAAATTAACTAAAACATCGGCTTCGGACTATTTTAAATTCTCAATACGTAACACCATTCACTTCATACATAATACATGGGTTGGCTCCCTAAAGATACCGAGTTTATAGTGTACAAAGCATTGAGTTTTTTGACATGTTACAGTAATCTAATGTTCAACTGGCTGGTAATTCTTGTTTCACCCTGAATTTAAGTTTTTTAAAGGAACACCAAATTTCCGTAAGAAAGGTAACTTCAAGGGGTAATGATAACATCGTTTACACTAGAAATATTATTTTTTTAGCTTATACTGTTAGAATGCTTTTCTGTCGTACTAACGCCACTGCGAAACCTTTATACATTTTATAGCTAGCGTGGGAAAAGAAAAAAGAAAGCTAAACACTTTGTCTCTTTAACTAGTTCCCAGTTCTCCACTTTAGCAACATTTTCAATAATATTGGAAGTCTACAAGCTGTGAAACACTCGATAATGGCAATTAGGTGCTCAAATAAAGCTATAACCCAACTTTAGCAGTTATTTGTAAGCATTATTAAGTAATAGATTGAATGCGACAGCCATTTCTTTTTCTCGGCCCATCCATACTAAGCACTATTTGCTTAGTGACTAATAGATTGTGTTTGTTTTTTCCGAAATATCTGAGAGTGTCGTTTTCAAATAATTAATAATGAGAAAATACTTGTTGCTGAATGATGTTAAAACAATATACCCAACATTATTTTTATTCGGATTCATTAACCTAAAGAACCATCTTACGCAAGTTAAAAGTTTGCAAATTAATAGTTCTTTTATTTGTTTCTTATTCAGCACAAAGCTACACAATAGATTATCTGTGCTCTCGTATCGAAATCCGATTTTTAGCGTTATAAGATTACTTTTTTGAATGAACTTTTTAAATAAGGTGTCTTGTGTGTTCTTTACAGTATAAATGTATGATGTATGATAGAGTAGCTAGATTTCAAAGTTTCTAAAATGTTCTGCTTAATATTTCCATGAGATCATTACGATGTATAAAGCAATTGGCGATAATTTGTAGCAATTTAAACTATAAAAAGAAAAAAAGTGACTTACAAAATATAATAACGTATATATTTGTCCTCCGGTTGGGTAGCAGTAAGTCTATGGATTTACAACGCTAAAATCAAGGGTTCGATTACCCTCAATGGACACAGCAAATAGCCCAATGTGGCTTTGCTATAAAACACACACACAGATATATATATATATTATCTCAAGTAAGATGATTTGGAAATTAGTCGTAGTTATACCTGTATTGAAATTCTTTTAAGATATTTTTGTTTTCACTATTCACTGCTAAATTTTGTTTCAATCGTTGAAAATGGCAAAATTGAGTAAATGTTTTACAATTTATTTGTTCTAATATATTTCTTTTAGTTTTACAGTCAAAAACGGCTAGTCACTTTCACCTCGGCCTTGCATGGCCAGGTGTTTAGGGTGACGGGTTTGAGTCCCGTTACCGAACATGCTTGCCTTTCAGCCATGTAGACGTTATGATGTGACGGTCAATCTCACTATTCATTGGTAAACAGTAGCCCAAGAATCGGAAGTGGATGGTGTTGACTAGCTACATTCCTTGTAGTCTATCATTCCAAAATTAGACCCGGTTATTGCAGATAGCTCTCAAGTAGCTTTGTTCTAATATATTTCTTTTAGTTTTATAGTCAAAAACGGCTAGTCACTTTCACCTCGGCCTTGCATGTCCAGGTGTTTAGGGTGACGGGTTTGAATCCCGTTACCGAACATGCTTGCCTTTCAGCCATGTAGACGTTATGATGTGACGGTCAATCTCACTATTCATTGGTAAACAGTAGCCCAAGAATCGGAAGTGGATGGTGTTGACTAGCTACATTCCTTGTAGTCTATCATTTCAAAATTAGACCCGGTTATTGCAGATAGCTCTCAAGTAGCTTTGCATGAAATCTAATTAAAAAACAGAAAACTCTTTCTCCTGAAGTAGTGAACAATAGTCATTGAATATAATAGTATTTTGCAAAAAAAAAGTATCAAAGTATCATTCAATGAAAAGTTGTAAACTAAGAACAGAAATTTAACTCATATATAAGAGAGTGGAGTAATTGATTTAATTGTAAAATTTCAAAATGGGTACAAGAGGCCAGTAATAATTTAAACAAAAGTAAAATTGAATTAAAATA